AATGAGTGTGCAGATGCGAAGTGTGGGTGGTGCCAAGGGCCTCTTGGTTGACCTGCACATCTACAGACCTGCAGGTCACATGGCTGAGTACGCAGTGGTGGGCTGTTCTGGCCCCACTGGACTGAACAGACTTATATAGAGGGGAGAATGGGTCCCCCAAGAGGGCCCTGCTCCAAACTGCAGTCCCTGGGCTGCAGCTAGAGCTACTTTTGTAACTTAAAATCTTATTTTTCAGGGCCAGCAAATGGTGTGGTGGTTAAGTGCACTGGACTCCCACATGGCTGACCACAGTTCCAGTCTGGAACCTGGTGGCTTAGCTTCTCACTTTTCCTATCTCTTTCACTTGGTTCTTCTCTGATCAAATTTAAATAAATAAATAAATAAAATAATTATTAAAAAAGAAAAAAAATCCTGGGGTCAGTAGGTGGTATGGTGGTTAAAGGCTCTGGATTCTCACATGGTCTATCACAGTTTGGGTCCCAGACCTGGAGGCTTGCTTTCTCCCTTTCCCTTTCTGTCTCTGGTCAAATTTTAAAAATAATAAAAAATAGAATTAAATCATTATTTTAAAAAATCTTATTTTTCAGGAACCAGCAGTTAGCATAATGGCTATGTCGCTGGACTCCCACATAGTCGACAGCGGTTCACATCCCGGACCCGGTGGCTTAGAACTCATGCCAGGCCCATGTGCATGTGTGCCCAAGATCCCGAGAGGAGAATGGAGGAGAAGGGATTGTGGCGTGACAATCGCCCCCTGGGGGGGGGTGATTTCTCGCTTTCTGTCTCTATGTCTCTGTCTGGTGAGTGCACATGCCCCATACCGAAAACCTCTCAAAAAAAAAAATCTTATTTTTCAAAACTCTTATAAATTCACCATTACATTCTAAAATAATTTCAAAGGTAGTGAGAGCTAGATAACTACAGCCTGAAAATTGGTAACTTTTCATCTCATAAATAATTTTTTTGGAGAGATTTTTGCTATAGGGTGTGTGAGCTCAACAGAAAGACAGAGAGAGATGGAGAGACAGAAAGCGAGAAATCACCCCCCCAGGGGGTATGGCCACTCCGCCATCTCTTCTCCTCCATTCTCCTCTTGGGATCTTGGGCATGCATGTACATGCACCCGGCGTGAGTTTAAGCCACCAGGTCTGGGACTGGTACTGCAGTCGACTACATGGGAATCCAGCGACGAAGCCATTATGCCATCTGCTGTTTTTTTTCTTTTAAAAAAACACAATTTTTAAAAAACAATTGTTTTTTTCTTTTAAAAAAAAGCGATGTTTAAAAGAATTATTTTATTTATTACTATTTTTTAAATTTGACCAGAGATAGGCAGAGTGGGAAAGTGAGAAAGCAAGCCACCAGGTCTGAAACTTGAACCCCAGCCCTCCATGTGGGAATCTAACTACTACACCACCTGTTGGCCCCTCATAAACCATTTTTACTAATGTTGGTATGAAAACTATTTGTATAGGCTATTACAATCACAAATGTTTGTTAGTCCATATTCACTAACCTTTAACAGGAATTTTACAAAATAGTTTATTTGGTATAAGCAGATAAAAATTAGACAATTTAAATGGCCATTAGCCAGTAAATGGATTGTGGTGTTCATTCCATAGAATATGATTTAAGTGATAAATGTCAATGGACTGTGGCTTCAGTGAATGGGTAATTTTTAAATTTCTAAGCAAAAGAAAAAGAATATGGAATAATACATGCAGTATGATTCCATTTATATAAAATTCAGAAAAAGCCATAGCTAAATGTAAAACTGTATTTTTTAAAAAAAGAATGATTAACAGAAATTTTAGGATAGTGGTTATCTAAAGAGACATGAATACAATCAGCAGGAGTCAAAGTGGGACTTGAAGTTTGAGCAGTGTTCCTAAACCAATGGTGAACAACCAACTTTATCTTTTTTTTTTTTTTAATTGCCAGAGGGTTCATGAGTTTGCCAGAGAGACACACAGAGAGCGAGAGGAAGAAAGCACCCCACAACAGGGGCAGAGTCCTGCCATAATCCTTCTTCCTTGTTCTCTGCTCTGCTGGTATTCAGGGCCTGTGTTCTTTAAGTTGTCAGGGGCCCAGGATTTTGCAGCATTTTTAGCCATGTGGGATCCCACTCCCAGTGCACAGCACTTAACCACTGTGTCCCTGAGCCGTTCCTGAAGAGTGATCTCTGAAAGGAGACAGGACACTATCCGATTCAATTCCACGGGAGAAGGAAAGGATAGAAATGGATGTGGCAGATGAGTAACTTGATGGGAAGCCAAGGTAATATCACACATGGTTTCTCTTGAGTATTAGCGGATAGTGAAGGGCCACAACTGGTTTTGAGAAAAAGTGAAGGCATGAAGTAAGTTTGGGACAGTAAGAGAACGAACTTAATGGCAGATAAATGCAGGTAGTCTCTGGTATTTCCACTTCCCTACTCCACCCCACTCTGCCTAGAACGCTGACCCTTTCTTTTCACCTAGAAAGACTTCATTTTTCAAGACTCACATCACGTTCTATGTCCTCTCTGAAACTTTTTCTGACTATCCCAAGGCCATCCTTTCCTTTTTAAATTTTATAGCACTTGGTTGTGTAACTTTGTTCACTCACACACTTATCTTGTACTAACTTTTGTTTTGTACACGACTTAATTTTTATATGGTATCTCAAACTACAGTTCTTGAGGGCAGAAATTATGCCCATTTTCTTAACACCGCCCCTCCCACTTTCAGAAAAAGTGCGGTCATATACACTATGAAGATACAGGTGCATTTTAAAAATGTATCATCTGTTGAAACAAATATCCTTAAAAGGAAATAATAAAATTGTGAAAACATACATGTGTAAGTTCAGAATGTTGAATTTTCTGTTATTCTCTTATAACTGCTCCCAGTTTTCTATTTTCGGTTTTGGAACTTAACTTTCTAGAATCTAAGTCAAAAACCTGATACTAACTTATAATTGGTTTAATTTTAAAAATGTAACAAATTTTTTCCTGCTTTAAGCTATTAAAACACTATCACCATTACAACCTTTAATGTATTCCTTGGTAGGCAGGCAGCTCTCTCAGCAAATGGAGGATATTATCAGAAATTATGTTAGGAATGCCATCTTGTGGTTGAGAGTAGTCCATTACATTAAGGGGTCCTACCGTGACAAACTTTAATTCAGAAATAAAACATCCAGCGAGTTCACAGATATAAATCATGGTTAAAATTTATGGTTACAAGGCCAGCGAGTGGTGTGGTGGTTAAGGCTCTAGATGTCCACATGGCCAACTATGGCTTGAGTCCAGGTCCTGGCAGCTTGCTTTATTTTCTCTCTGTCTGGTGGGTGCAAGTGCCCTGTAACAAATTTTTTTAAATAATAATAAAATTAAATATATAATTCTTTTAAAATTGTTTTAAAAATTACTACAGAGGAATAAAAGTGAAATATGTGCATCAATTATGTTTTAGTTGCCAAAAAAAGATAATATTCACTGAAAAGAGAGACAATAATTTATATGAGAAACTCCAAATAACAGAAAAATCTGCCGTCTCTACTCCCTTTTTTTTTTTTTTTTTTTTAACTATAGAGTACTCCCCCTCATCAGAGACAGTGAGAAGGAAAGTGAAAAATCATCCCCTCCGGGGGGAAGGCCACACTGCAATCCCATCTCCTCCACTCTCCTCTTAGGATCTTGGGCACATACACATGCCTGGCATGATTTTCAGGCTGTGAGGTCCAGGACTCAAACTGAACAGCTGGTCATGTGGGATCCAGCACCTTAACTTCCATGCCACCTGCTGGCCTCATCTAGTTACATACTTCTAATAATAATTAATGGGACCAGCAGTTAGCATAATGGCGTCACTGAACTCCCATGTAATCGACCGTGGTTTGAGTCCCGGACCCGGTGGCTTAAACTCACGCCAGGCGCATGTGTGTGCATGCCCAAGATCCCGAGAGAATAGAGAAGGGATTGCAGCAAGGCCAACCTCCCCCCGCCCCGGGGGGGCAGTAATTTCTCGCTTTCTCTCTGTCTCTCTCTGTCTTTCTGGCGAGTGCACACGCCCTATAGCAAAAACCTCCAAAAAATAAAAAATAAATAAAAAACAAGTACACTCAAGTTTTGGAAAACTTTCCTCTTGAAATAGGTAATTTTATTTCTGTATTCACTACCACGCAGTTGACTCTTATGTCACATTCTAGATTTAAATTAACATGTTGATTTTCAAGTTCCATCACCCTAACATCCAAAGGTGAATGAAGGGCAGAGCACTCAGCCAATTTGGATGGTGTGGGAGACACATAATTAACTGTCCTCCAAAACAGAGTCTGAAGAGGTTGAAAACACTGGTCCTGGCCCAGTCACAGTGGCACGGGTACAGAGTGCCACTCTGAAATGCTGGAAGCCATATGGATCAGGATTCCGCTCCCATGCTGACCTGTAAACTCTGGGTACACGTGTACCCACGATTCTGGCTGGCTGGGAAGTTCCAGGGGAGGACTGCAGTGTCAGATCCTGTTGGAATGTTTGTCTTTCTCTGTGTCTCTCATTAAACAAATGAACAAATTTTTTTAAAAGGGGAGAAAAAAACACACACACAGGCCCTAACTTTTATAGATGAGATTACTAACTTCCTCCACAGAAGATATTCATTTTGAGTGGTAAATTAACTTTTTAGTCAATAAAGAACTAGTAAGTGGTTACAAATGTAGTACTTAGCAATAATGCTTAGGCATTTTTAATTGCCTTATTGAATATTAGACACTTTGGCCCACTTAAAAATGGAAGTGAGGAATAGAAACTGAAATATCCCTCCTGAGCACAAAGCAAACACAGCACAAAGGTCCATGCACAATGCTACCTTCTGTCAACTTCTAGATTAAGGATTGAGGGAGGAGGAGGTACAGTGCAGATATAATGTCCAGTCCTAGAGATCAGGCTACCGAAATTCCAAAAGATAACAGAAACATATACAGTTTACATTACAAACAAAATGCTACTGTACTCCAAATCAACTTTTGAAATTTATTGTTGCATGCTTATCACCAGAAAAATATACATATATATATTTTGCTCAGAAAACTCATACAAATTGATTTTGGATTAGTTTTTCCACTTGATTCTTCAGGACACTCATGTCGGCTACACAGACCTGGTACCCCATCTTTTCTTGCTGTTTGGTTCTCTCTAATAAAGCCCCATGTGGTGGAGGTAATGCATTGTATGAACCCAGTAAGTAAAGCTGACTTGAGGAAGTTTGGTTGATTTCATTAATCTTTAACGCCTGCATGATAGCAGGTGCAAACTTTGAGTAATGAGCTGTGGAGGAGACAATCACGGGGCAAGTTTTGTCTTGCATTCTGTCTGCCACCACTTTTGCAACAGCAGTGTGTGGGTCCAGAATGTACCCCGAAGTGTTGTAGGTAGAGTTAATAGCGGCGAGGCACTCTCCCTCGGTGCACCAGTCGGCTACAAAATCTTGCTGAAGCTTCTCAACGAGCATATTTTCTATTTGGAAATGGTGATGGCTTTCTAATTGATTGAATAATTTTGTCATTAATTGTCCATCTTTATTAGCCATCAAGTGTAAATGTCGTTCCAAGTTTGCAGATTTGAGGATATCTATGGATGGTGAAAAGGTCTGTGCTAATTTCCTTTCCCTTAGGTCATAATGCCCTGTTTTTATAAAATCAGTCAAAACGTGGTTCTGATTAGAGGCACAGATAAATTTCCGGATAGGAATTCCCATCATTTTGGCATACACTGCTGCTAATATGTTACCAAAGTTTCCTGTGGGAATACAGACATCAATGGGGCTTCCAAAAGAAATAAATCCTTGGTTAACAAGATCAAGATATGCAGAAGCATGATAAACTACCTGGGGAAGCAGTCGGCCCCAGTTTATGGAATTAGCTGAACTTAGGACTGTTCCATATTCCATAGTAAGAAAGCCAGTAAACTCAGAATCGTTAAACATTTTTTTAATAGCTGTCTGGCAAAAATCAAAGTCTGACTTGACACCTACAGCCCATCCATTTTTTCGCTGACTGCCAATTATTTGTGCTTTTTGAAACTCACTTATTCCATTCTCAGGAAAAAATGTGACCACAGCTATTCTCTGCTTGTCATTCTTAGTAAGACGACTGAAACCATTTAAGACTGCACTCCCTGTGTCTCCTGAAGTAGCTACAAGTATCATATAATTGCAACTTGGTGGGATACAGTGTGCAAACATTTGAGGCATAAGCTGTAAAGACAAATCTTTAAATGATCCTGTTGGTCCATGAAATAACTCCAGAATGAACTGGTTGCCTGAAAGATGCCTGACAGGAGCAATTTTTGAGCATGCGAAGTTTTCCCCATAAGCGGTTTCGATCATTTCTCCCAGTCTGGCAGCAGGTATGTCTGCAGGATGTATACACCTTTCTAAAAGTATCTGTGCTCTTTCTATGTAGGTAGCGCTGACGAGGCTTTTCCACTCCCCACAGCTTAATTTTGGAAACTCCTTCTCAGGAACGAAGAGTCCACCGTCAGAAGCTAACCCTTCGATCACAGCTTCGCTGAAGAATTTTGTTGAAACCTTCTGTTCACTGTCTTTAGGCCAAATGTGTCTCGTTGAAATGAACGTTTCTGAGTCCACATCTTGGTATCTTTTAACAGTATTCAGCACTTTGTCAGCTACCTCCTCTGGGGAAGCCCCACTTTCACAAAAGACACGAGCATCATACCACTTCTTATAAAATTGTCTTCTAAATTTAAGTAAGTCTTTCATAGATGTTCCGGAATTCTGACCTACAATTCTATCTATCTTCATTAACTTTAGACGACTAATTATATCTATTAAAGGCACATCCAAGTACACAATTATTCCATTTTTCTTCAGATGCCACATGCTAGCATCATGCATTGGATTGGATCCGGTAAGGGAAATCACACTTCCAGATGCAGAGAAGTTTAACACAGCTTTTCCTTCCTCTTCTAAAAATTGCTCATTACCAACATCCTGCAATTTTTCAGACACACTCATATTCCAGGTTTTTTCAAGGATATCATTATCCACATCTATGACACAACAACCTAGTTTCTGACCTATTATTCTGCCTACTGTTGTTTTCCCAGCACCAGGGGGGCCCATCAGGATAATATTTTTGTCTCCAACAAGAGAGTGGGTAGAATGCCATGACTTCCTTAATTCTGCGAGTGCAAAGGCTCTTGGAAGAACTAGCTGTGCCTGTTTATCTGCTTTAACGTGTACACTAGAGAAACACTTCTGTGTCAGCTGTCTCAGAGGCCAACATCGGTTCAAGTGGAGCATTCTCTTCTCACTGTTCTGCCCAAGCCAACCTAAAAAATGGCATTAGCCTTTTTCAAAACATAAAAACAAAAGAAGACATTTGGTTACTAAGTTCAGCAGACTCAAAATCCTGATAGGACTGAACATAACCTTATAAACTTTAAAATATTCCAAATGTATGGGATATTTAAAAAAAGTTTTCCAATCCAAATTCTCATATATTACATGTTGTCTTTTTAAACAATATTTTTGGGGGACCAGCAGTTGGTGTAATACTGGACTCCCACATAGTCAACCGTGGTTCAAGTCCCAGACCTGGTGGCTCAAATTCACGCCGGGCATGTGTGCATGCGTGCCCAAGATCCTGAGAGAAGAATGGAGAAGGAAACGCGGCATGGCCATCCCCCTGGGGGGTGGGGGTGGTGGTTGATTTCTCACTTTCTGTCTCTCTGTTTCTCTCTTTCTGGTGAGCACATGCACCCTATAGCAAAACCCTCTCAAAAAAAAAAAATTTTATTTTCTATCTCAAGACACCAAAAATGTGTAATTAAAAATAAACTCTACTCAGAAAATGCCTCAGAAAAAGGCATTTACTCAGAAAAAGCATAACAGATGCCTTTAAAATATACTGGGTTGTTAGAAAAGTCATGATGGATTTTTTGGTTTTTTTTTTAATAGTCATTTAACTTCTTTTATTTTTAATTTGACCAGAGAGGGACAGAGTGAGAGCGAGAGTGAGAACAAGAGAAAGAAAGCCACCAGGTCTGGGACTCGAACCACGGTTGGCCATGTAGAAGTCCAGGGCCCTTAATCACCATGCCACCTGCTGGCCCCAAGGATTTTTCTTTTTTCCTACACAAAAATATGTCATGACTTCTCCGACGACCCAATATATATACATATATATACATATATTGGGTCGTCGGAGAAGTCATGACATATTTTTGCATAGAAAACACGTTATGACTTTTCTGACAGCCCAATAAATCAAGTTAGTATTTCCTTTACTTTTGTGAAATAATACAATAAAAATAATTTTACTGGGACTACCAGATGACATAATGGTTATGTCACTGGACTCCCACATAGTCAACAGTGGTTTAAGTCCCGAACTCGGCGGCTTAAAACTCATGCCAAGCACGTGTGTACACGTGTCGAAAATCCTAAGAGGAAAATGGAGGAGCAGGGATTGTGGCGTGGCCGTCCCCCCACGGTGTGATTTCTCACTTTCTATCTTTGTTACTCTCTATCTCTCCAGCAACCACATGTGCCCTATAGCAAAAATCTCTCTACAAAAAAAAAAAATAGTTTCATGGTTTCTAACACGTGTAAAGATTATTTAGATTTGGAATGCTACGGACTTGCCATTCACAAAAGCCAATCAATAATTCGTATACTTAATTTTTCTCCAGTTATATACATATATTATGGATTACGTTACTTATAAATTTCTTAATTACAGGATTCGTTACAGGAAACCAGAATTAAAAAAACATACTTCAGATTACAGGTCAAAGCTATGGCATTTTTTTCATATGTGTCTTTTATATACATACTCCATTCCTGAGCCAGCAGGTGGCATGGAGGTTAATGTGCTAAATCACATGCAGCAGCTTGAGAATCACGCCAGGCACATGTATGTGTATACCCAAAACCCTGACAGGAGACTGGAGAAGGGCTGTGATGTGGTCATCCCTCTGGGGCACGATCTCTCTCTCTCTCGTTCTTTTTCTTTCTGGCAAGCACATATGCCCTAGAGCAAAAAAAAAAAAAAAAGAAGAAAGAAATATTCCTACACATTATTCATACTGAAGACTTTCAAAAGAGCCAAAGTGAAAGGTATGATACCCCAATAGGAAAAATATAGGAAAAATTAATAATCAACAATGAAGTCAAAAGCTACATATCTATAACTTTATTTGCATGGGATCATTGCTTTTGTTTCAGGTCTTATAAACAAGTTCAGTGGAGGAACTTAACTCAAATTCCAGATTCCAGAATGATAGCCAAAATATCAGAAATGTTTTCAATCTGAGAGGACAAAATTATTCAGGCATTCAAAGCAGCTCTATAATCCACATACTGATCAGGTCTGTCTTTGGAAATATATTCATCATTAGAACAAAGATGTATGCCAAATAGATCACCTATTTAGTCTTGTAAAAGGCAATTTAATAACTACTATAATATTCATTTACATTGATTGAAGGGAATAGGACACAAGGCATGTGGTGGGGCTTTCCCCATGTTCTCTGGTAGAATCACTGTGCAACTAAATTGTATTAAATATTAGACAGTATGTTTAAGCATGTTCTGAAAACTTTTTTTAACTCCCCCCCCTTTTTTTTAGTTTTTTTGTTATAGGGCATGTACACTTCACCAGAGAGAGAGAGAGAGAGAAATGGAAAGAGGAAAAATGAGAAATCAAACCCCATGGAGGATGGCCAGTTGCAATCCCTTCTCCTCTAGTCTCCTTTAGGGATTTTTGGTCATGCAACACACATGCACCCAGCAAGATTTTCAAGCCACTAGGTCCAGAACTTCAACA